AGAAAAAACTTCAAAGCAGCTCACACATTTGAGACAAGTGCTTTCCCCCTTGGCTACCTCCCTAGCCATTCCGTGGCTGGTTTCTATTTTTAGAGAGTATGGTTGGTTTGTGGTGCTGTGACTCTGAGGAGTGATGGACCATGAGGGACACATGTTTCCAGAGCAGTTATCCTGTACCAAAGAGGTTTTCACTCCCCTTTATTGCTTTCAATGTGCTAGGGATAAATTTTAAAAGATATTTATTTTCTCAAGGGTCTGAAGGTCACAAGTTCAAAGTCAGGGTATGGGCAGGACTAAATTCTGTGTTTTCTCTCTGGCTAGTCCCGTCCTAGCAGTCCTCTGGTGCTGTTTCATAGGATGGTTCATCCTTCCCTTCGGGCACATCTCTAGAGCCCCCTCTGAATCCTAGTCACTTTTTGAAGACACCAGGCAGATTGGATTAAGGACCTACCCACAGGCAAGAGCGTTTTAACTCGTCTCTTTAACAGCTGTCTTGTGAGGTGTTGGGGGTTAGGGTTTCAGTCGGTGAACTGGGGGAGGGGTACCACTTCGGCACTAACAGCTCTTTGGGGAAAGAGGGCAGCTGGAGACTCAGAAATCAAGCAACTGTTGAAGACCATGTGCTCACTCTGCTTCACAGGTGATGGGCGCACACAGCCAGGTTCATCTGAATGGCTGGAGACCTACCATTCCCAGAGAAAGCACAGCCCCACACCCGGAGGTGCCACGGAAGATGGAAAAGGAGAATTTAAAGAAAGAAAGGAAGGAAGGAAGGAAGGAAGGAAGGAAGGAAGGAAGGAAGGAAGGAAGGAAGGAGGAAGGGGGAGTGAGGGAGAGAGGGAGGGAAGGAAGAAAACAGGAGAAGTGAGTCAGCAACTAAAAGGACTCCAGAGGACCCAGGTTCAGTTCCCAGCACCCAGGTCAAGTGGCTCCCAGTCTAGGGAATCCAGCGTCCTCTTCTGGAATCCTTGGGCACCAGCACACACAGAGGATGTGCACACAAAGACACACAAGCACGTCTTTCTTTACTTGTTTCAGCAAAAACAAACCCAGAAACCGACCAAAGCCAAGAAGCACGGTGATCAGACTTCACGGTGTGCTGGCAATCCATCCCGGGAAACAGTAGAGCTGACAGCAGTATCCAGGCTGGGCTGTCCTGCAGGCGCCCCTTCAGAGCTCAGCTTTGAGCAAAGACTGGAGCTTTACCTAAGGCACTATAAAAGGCCAGCAGTTTAGCATCAGCAGAAATCCACCTGTCTGGGAGGAGCAGGGTGTGACTTTTAGACGAAGACAGTAACAAGTGTTGGGCCCTGAAAATGAAGGCGCCACAGGCTGACTCTTCTCATTTGTTAGTGTCTGCTGCCCTCTGCTGGCCAGATTCAGGAACCACCAAGAATCAACAGAACACGCTCCTTCGCCACAGTGCACACAGCTCTGAGTGTGGAAACACTTGGTGTGACAGGCCTGTGGGTCTACCCTCTCTAAACTCCACACTGTTTTTAAATAACAGCACGGCCTACTTCACTTTTTGCATACTGTGACTGTATAGCTGTTTTAATACTTTCATCTTAGAAAGAAAACCAGAAACAAAACCTTATTACAACTGCTGCCTCCTCAAAAAAAAAAAAAAAAAAAAAAAAAAAAAAAAAAAAAGGTTTCCCCTAATCAGCAAACATGGTGACGAGAAGCCAAGGCTTGGTGATTAAACAGAGCACAGGTTTGCTTATCACTTCAAGCTTCCAAAACAATCATCCAGTTAGTTTAATAAGATAGGTTTCAACCTTTTTAAAACTATGATTTGCTGTGCGATAACCTGGGGAATCCCACCATTTGGTTACAGTGCTTTTGAAAAAATAATACTGATCTTCAACCAAAACAAAATCAGAAGCGGTGATACAGGACTAGAATTCCAGCTGCTTGGGAAGCTGAACGGGAGGATTGCAAGTTCAAAGCTTGCCTGAGTTACAGAGTTCAAGGCCAGCCTCGCCTATTGCAATTACTGTTTGGATGCCCACCAGAACTAGATGGAGAGACCCTGTTGCTGAAGACACCATGCTCTGTTTGCAGGACATAGAACATTAAGCTTGGGACCTGGCCAGAAGCTTCTTCCCTAATGGCTGGTTTATAAAGTGCTCTGCAGGCTTCTGGAGACAATTGTCATAAATGGTATGACCCAACTGTGGACCCCGGGTGCTACCTTCCAGGCAAGTTATACCCATGGTGTGATAGCGGCATGACTGTTATGGGGTAATCAGTAGCTTTCTGGACGTGAGGCCTGCTTCTTAGGAGTGAATCCACATCTTTGATTGCAAACCTAGTCAAAATCCCGTGGCTGGAGAGATGACAGGCCCCGGTGGGGAATCTTCTGCTGGTTTTTGTGAAGCGGACATCGTATGTCTGCCAAAATGCCTTCAGCATATCCGTGCTGGTGTTTATAGATTTGTTCTGATGCCAACAGTAACTGGAGAGGCTTCTTAGCAGTGGTCACAGTGCCTCGACTACACAGCCCTCTAACTGGCCAAGGTGCTGAGAATATGTGGCTGCTGAATGCTCAGCCTTAAATGGCACATCTTTGTCACCCCCTGCAAGACTTGAGAAATGTCATGGGATGGGGGAAGAATGCAAGCGCTGATGGACGGGGTGGAGCGTTGTGGACTGCTGTCCTCAGCTATGATGCGGCCAGTGCTCTCTTGAACTCCCAGAGGCTGTGGTCACTCATACAAGATCGGGCCCATCAGCATTCTGTCACGGACAGGAAATGCTTGCAAGTCCCCTCCCCTCTCGGGGATGAATAAGCAGTTAATGGTTGTTGGGGACTAGAGGGGTATAACCAGTGGTGTAACCAGTAAAGGTGCCCATTCTCCTGCAAACTAGTCCCTTTCCCATATTCCTGGACAGAACCCTATTGAAGTCATTGGTTTACACACATGCATACACATTCATACACAGCATTTCATACATGCATGAAAATATCACAATGGAACCAATCATTATGTATAATTCATATATTCTAATAAAAAAACTAATAAAAAAATAGAGCCAGTCTGGGCAACTTAGTGAGATCCAGCCTCGAAATAAAGTCAACCTAGCTCGTTGGCAAGGCACATGCTCAGCATGCCAAAGGCCTCGCTCGGGTTCAGTCCTTTGCACACAGGTTCCTTCAAAGCCCCCCAAACCAGTGGGCTGTGCTTTTAGAAATATTGCTTTGTTAAGCATATTTGTTATTGGAGAATGTTCAAAGGCCATAAAGGATCCCCTGGAGCTGAGAAGCGTTAAGAAAACACTCAAAGAAGCCATTCTCTCTGAGAGCCCCTGCAATCCCAGACAGGGTGCAGATGTGTGATGCTGAGGGCCTCCGTGCACTTCAGAATGGAGAGGTGCAGGGGCCACAAAGTCCTGCCCGATGCTGTTGCCAGAGTCGTCATCTCAAGTGTTCTGTTGGAGGTAAACGCTGCACCTCTGACCCCAGAACACAATAATACCAATTTCCCCAACTTTACACAGCCACAGACCCATGTCTACCCACCCCAGCCTGCCTGAGGTCGCCATTGTGGCCCCTTTTAGCTGTCCACACGTTCTCCTTCGGGATCTCTCTGGGACCTTGTTCTAGCAGACTTCCTTCTCTGTGTGGTGACTGAGTTCAGCCATCTGCTGTTCACTTCCTGTCTTCTCCAGGGAGTCTGTCTTGTTCTTTGCTGTGTCCTTTGTACCTAGCGAGTACCTACGTGTCCACAAGTGAGTGAACTGATTGAGCTAAGGAAGACCTCCAGACATGAATGACATGAAGGTGGTCCATGCAAGGCCAAGCATGGAGCTTATTCCCGAAGTGGAAGCAAGTTCTAGCCTTGACCATGGCAGAGAGGGCTGGGACTGGAGTCAGGTGACAGGTGGAGTCCCAGCTGCACCCTTCTCTTGGATCTGCACTAACTCTTACAATGACTCCGCACAGTTGACAGAGGAACTTCAGAACAGCTCCAGGGCCTGGACTGCTGGCCACTGCTTGGAGTTGGAGAACAGAGTCTGGAAAGGACACCAGCCACCGAGTGGGCTGTCCGTCAGTCAGTGTGTGGGTCCTGGTCCAGCCAGTCTGAGCATTCTCCAGCAGCAGGCTAAATCCCTGGCCCGCCCTTGCCCATCTCCAATGCCCTTGTCAGACAATAAGAAACTGAGCAAGGACAATCGTCACTTGGGGAAGCTGGACCAGAGCTGTCCCCGAGAGAGGTAGGGAAGGTGAAATGCTTGCGTGACCTGGGGCAGGAGCATTCGCCTCTGATGAGTGAGCTACTGGCCGGCTTTACTCTCTGTCATTGGTGGTCCTTCTCTTAGCATTGGGTCCCAGCTGCTGGCAGAGGAACCACCCTGGGAACAAGGTCAGCAGAAAGGGATGGAGCAAGGACTCCCTGGGCCACCTCAGGGCAGAGTGACCTGCGGATTCTTGAGGAAGAAGGCCACTTTCTGGGCCACGGCATCCAGCTCACTTGGGCTGGCTGACTGCAGGAGGTTGCTCTTTGGGACGAAATAGTGCTTCAGAAAGTGCTGGCTCACACATCTGTGCAGCTTCCGGACCAGGCGGAGGAGCGCTTGATGGAAGACCTGCCAGTCCTTGAGGTGTGGGTATTTCTCACATGTCCAGAAGAGCACCGTCTGTGGAAGAAAGATGGTGGGAACAAGCTGAGTTTCCGTGGCTCTGGGAGGAGGAGCAGGGCATCCTGGGAAAACTGGATCCACCAGGAATTCATGACCCATTGCCTCACCAGAGCCTGGGGCTTGCCTAGATGGCTCACACCTCTGTTACTCTCTTTCCCTTTCCTCTGCCGCCTTGACCACCAACACTCTCCCAGTGAGTCATACCCTGCTTCAAGCAGAGGCCCTCTGCCTCCCTGCATACGGGGAACATGGAAGCCCTCATCTCCTGGATGGGAGAGATCTGTCAACATGGCAGCCTCCTCTTTCCCTCTCTGCATCTACCGCTCTCACGGGCCTCTGCCTCCGCCTCCTAGGAGCACTATAGGATCGAGTCCCCTCTTTGGAGATGGCCTCTTGGCATGGGGCCATAGCCCTCCTGCTCTCCCGTGGCGGTCTCCCCTCTGGCAAGTCCAGGCACCCCGCTAAATTCCTCTCTTCTCACTCATTCCTTGCCTCCACCTACTCCAGTCGGGAGTCTTCTGCCATTAATCTTGAAGGCTGCTCTCCTAGCCCAAGGTCTCCAGGGTTCCAATGGCAGGGCAGGCCTTTTTCTGCCTCACCTCTTCTCACTTTCAGTGGGTCACACAGTTGGCCACACCCTGCCTCCCTAACCACTGTTCTTCTGGCCTCCAAGACAATGCTCTCCCAGGCTTTCTCCTCCCACCCCAGCTACTCCAATGCTCTGGCACCCACTTATGTCTGCTCGGCCTTGGGGTCCCTAAGGACACTCCCTCCCCACCCGCCCCCCCCTTCTGCTGTTGCCCCTCCCCTGCCTGGGGCTCAGTAAGATGGAGGACTCACCCCCGCACCTTCTCCAGCCCAGACTCTGCTCCTGACCTGCTTCGTCTTGGGTATTGGAAAGTTACCTCCGTTTCAACATGCCCAGACTGAACTCATGGCCTTTCCCACAAACCTGCTCGGCCTCTAGACCTGCTTATCCAGTCAGCTGGGCCAGACACAGCCTGGGGCCGCATCCTCCCTGTCACACGCAACCCAACCCGCTCATCTTCCTGCTCATTGGTCTCTCAGACCTGCCACTCAGCTTCACGCCCCTCCCACCGTCCTCTCCACCACAGGTCTCATCCTCTTTGGCAGCCGATTAACCTTTGTGTGTCCATCCCAAGTACCAGCAGCCAATCTGTAGGTTTGTGGGCTTGGGGGGGGGGGTTGTTTTTGTTTTTGTTTTAAGTATAAATCCTCATTATTTTTGTTTGTTTTATCTAAATAACAGTTCCTCTCACTCTTGGTTAACTAAGATACAAAACAGGGTCTCACTTTGTAGCCCTGGCTGGACTGGAGCTGTGTAGACCAGGCTGGCCTCTTATTCACAGATAGCCTCCTGCTTCTGCCTCCTGAGCGCTGGACTTAAAAGTAAGCGCCACCACACCTGGCTAAGGTTGCAGTTCGTAACATGTTCTGTGAGGCTTGGTCCCTGCCTCCTGGCCGGCCTTTCGACAGACACAGGGTGTCAAGAATGATGTGGAACCAGCCTAAGCGCCAAGAGTAGATGGATGGCCAGGGCATACCGAGCACAAAGACACAATGGAGGACTGTTCATCCAGAAAGAATGGAACCCTGTCCTCTACAGCAAAATGGCTGGAAGCAAAATGGAAGGACATGTATTAAGTCAAATGTGCCAGACGCAGAAAGACAAACAGGGCACCGTCCTCCTCACGCGTGGAAACTGAGGGTGAAGCAGGTCTGAACATGGTGTGCTGAGGACTGGGAACTGGGAAAGGGGCGGGGTAAAGGGGGGCAGTGCAAAGGGAGGTGGATGTGATTGGTGCACCCTCTCCACATGTATAAAAATGTCACACCAAACCCAATTAGGATATGCAACTAAACACAGCAATCAAAAATAACAGCATCAGTTTGAAGAGAATTTGAAGTCCCGGATGAATGAAGAGCACTTGCTGCACATTCAGAGGACCTGAGTTCAATTCCCAGTACCCTCTTCTGACCTCCTCAGGCACCTGCACATGCGTGGCATATACTCACATAGACACATACACATACATAAAAATAATAATACATATTTAAAATTTTAAAGAGTGGATAATCTCGTCAACTAAAGGGGACCTGGGAAAAGTGGGGAGGCGGGAAGGGAAGGAGGGAGGGAGGGAGGGAGAGAGAAAGAGAGAGAGAGAGAAACACACACACACACACACAGAATGAAACTGACCACACCTCTCACATGATACAAAATTAACTCAAAATAGACTGGGTGCAAAACTTAAAATTTGGGTATGCATAAACAAGGAAATGAAATTAGAATATTAAAGAGCTACCGATACTCCGGCTACCGCAGTATTATTCACAATAGCCAAGGGAGAAAAAGTGACCAACCTAGGTGTGCATCAAGAAAAGACGAGAGAAGATGCGGGAGGCCGACACAGTGGACGACTACCCAGCCACCAAACGGCGAGTGAAATCCTGCCGCGCACAGCAGCATGGAGGAAATGGAGAGCTTCTGCTGAGTGAGATAAGAAAGGAAGGGGAAGAAGACGGACACTGTGTGCTCCCGGTCACGTGTGTGCACCAATATGATCAGGACAGAGGGCTGAAGGAGGATAGGGCGGAAATGCAAAAACCCCAGGAGGGATAGTTTAAAACTCGCCGCCGGTGCAGCAGGGGCCTGCTGCAGTTGACAGCGATTCTTCCGGTTTTGAAATAACTGCAGGAGTTCAAAGCCCCCAACCAGAAGACAGAATAAACATCCGAAGAGGCACGCTGATTGCTGGGGCTTTACAGGGTGCATGGTCTGCGTGTCTCCAGTTACTATTCCACACCTCACAGATACGATGTGATGCAAGGTGTTAATCCATACAACAAATCATCCCCAATGCCACAGCAAACAAGAAGGGACGAGAGAGAGGAGCAGAGGAGAGAAGGAGAGGGAAGTCAGGGAGGGAGGGAAGGAAGCCAACTCGCTATCACCCCTGGCAGGTGTGGGACACACAGCTGGGGTTTTATGTGTCACCACGAGCAGAAAAGCATGCAGTGTGGAAACCCTGGGATTGAAAACGGTTCCCACGGCCCCATCCCGATCCCATCACCCACTGGGACCCACCTAGAGACGGTTGCCCTGGCTCCCCCCACCACACCCGGTGCTCACCTGCAGGTGGTGGGTGGTGATGACTGGTCTCTGCCCTGGACACCACACATCCTCCTTCAGCTGCCTCAGGACCTGAAAGCATCGCCTGCGGCAGCCCCCATCCTCATCCAACTGCTCAAACAGCACCTGTTCTGCCTGGGAGAAACTCAGCTGCCAGTGATAACTGGACCGGGCCACCAAGTTGAACCCAAATGACTGAAAAAAGACAAAAGGATTGGGAACATGAGGAACACGATTCTGGCTAAAGCGGAGAGCAGCTCGCATAGCTTGAAGGACCCATGGCCCACAGCCTATGGTATGTCTATGTGATGGAATATTACTCAGCCAATAAAAAGGATCAAATCCAGCCATTCACAGGAACAAGGATGGGATTAGAGTATAATGTGTAAAGAGCAGCAAGGCAGAAAAAGACAAACACATTGAATATTCTCACTCACATGTGGATGGCAAAACATAGAGGCCTAAAGGGCAGCGTGGAGAAACACAAGGCACCGTGAGTACACGCAGGGAGCAGGGGGAGGCTCAGACCACTTTAAGGCAGCTGCTTCTGCCCCCGTCAGAGCCGCTGAGGACTTATCAGCCTTCACCTAGGTCACTGGGCTCTGACCCATGCTCACTCTGCCGGCCCCGGGTTTCTGATAGGAAACCTGCATTTCTGACACGCTCATGGGTGATGCTGCCCCTGGGGAGCAGGTGGGGGGCAGCAGACACGTTGGAAGAGCAGCTCTAACCCCCCCCCACCCCACCCCCAGTAAGCCGTTTCATGGTCAGTAACAAGATCGGCAAAGCTGTCAGCCCTCCACAGAACGAGCCCCGCCTGGTCACCCATACCTTGATGCACTCCACTCTCTCTGGGGAAGGCCACCGCTTCAGACACCTAGGCCACTGGGCTTTCTCGGACCAGGCAGTGGGGATCTCCACAGTAGGGACCAGCTCCAGCTCCACCTGGCCTGTGGACGTTTCCACGGCAACCCAAACGGCAGCTCGGTTTGCTAGCACACTGACCTTGCCTGATGGGAACCAACCAGAGAGAGACCCTTGATAAGAGAAAGCCTTTGCCTTACACACAAGCAGCAGGGCAGGGGCAGGAGCGAGTGGGCAGCCACTGTGGGCAGCTGTCAGGGTGTCTGTCACCCAGTGTCGGCTCTGTTGACACCGGACAGCCAGCCACTGTCACAGCCTGTCCGGGAAAGCTCATGGTTGGTCAGTGGGGTCTTTCCTTTTCCTCCTCATTCCTCCAAAGCTTTTCAGCACATGTTATTCTAGGATGTGCGTGAGTGCGTGTGTGCACGTGTGTGTGTGTGTGTGTGTGTGTGTGTGTGTGTGTGTGTGTGTAGATAGAACCCAGGGCTTCACACACGCTCATCACAATACCTCTGAGCTATAATCCGAGCCCAGAGGGTTTCCATTTAAAGTGATAGATCCCTTTCAGGAGGTTCAACGAGGGGAGTCATGGGAAAAGACAGAAAAGGATCATATTGGCTCCTGAGACGCCATCTAACACCTCCACATCACCTCGATGCCGGTTTGGGAGGGAAGGCAGGCGAGGGTAAGGGCGGAGCGCGTCACTCTGCCGTCGGGATTTTTCTGAAGGGTGGCTCTGACCCCACCTCACCCAGGTCCCTTCCAGGGGGGTCCTACTAGCCTGTTTCATCTGAATCAGTCTCACGGATGGGGTTTGCTTCTACCATCCATCTTAGGCTTCACCTAGATGTATTTCCTGAGTCCATCCGATCGTGAAGCCCCACCGAGCATGTTATAGCTGAGCTGGAAAGGGTCAGGTGAGTGGGGGAGGTTTCCCATGATTTCATTTACCAAGCAGGCAGAGAGGAGGAAATAAGTGCATGTGGTCAGTTTTCCAGCTCATGAGCCAGCCTACCCTCATTGCCAAAGGGCTCCTCCTTACAAAACAACAGATTATTATTATTGTTGTTGCTGTTATTATTATTATCATTATATGTATGTATGTATGTATATAGTATGTATATATGCCTGTATTTGAGCACCTGCATGATTTCATGTTCACCACGTGCATGCAGCAGCCTGCAGAGGCATGAAGAGAGCATCAGAGTCCCCGGAACTGATGTTACAGACAGGGTGCTGGGAACTGAACCCCAGTCCTCTACAAGAGCAGCAAATGCCTCTAACCACTGAGCCATCTCTCCAGCCCCAGCACCTGAGTGTTTCTGTTTGTTTGGCTTCCTTGCAGATAAGAATGAGAGTGTCTTGACCTAAGGTCTGTCATCTCACTCTGCCCTTCTTAGGAGAAAATTTGAAGCTTTTAACTGTGTTTGGCTGCTCGGAGGAAAGCGTGCTTGCTATTCTGAGCTAGCTATGACGGCTGACAGTTTACATTTCACCAGAGCAGCCCGGACAAGGCTAGGATACGGAGTGTTACTTCAGCTTTGTTTACTGAAACCTCCTCACAGGTCTGGCCCAGCTGGACTCACCCATCTCTCCGTTCTCTAATAGATCTTCTCCTAGTGTTAGGAGTGACTGAACTTGGAGCTAGCCTGCCTGGCCCACACCTTACTTCTGCAGATGCAGGCGGCTCTGGCGAGTGACTTACCTGTCTCAGTCTTTTCATTTTTAAAGAGGTACAGAAAAGATTTTTTTTTTTTTTTGACAAAGTCTCCTGTATCCCAGGCTGGCCTTGAACTTTTGATCCAGCAGAGGATGACCTTGATTTTCTGGTCCTCCTGTCTCCACCTGGCAGAGTGCAAGGATCAGAGGTGTCCACCCACGTGTCTGATGTATGCATGGCTGGGGATCGAATCCCGGGTGTTACACACGCCAGGCCAATATTCTGCCAACTAAGCTGCATGTTACCCCAGTCTCAGAGTGTCTCAGAATTAAGTAATCCACACAAGTACTTTCTATAAAGTAAACATCTATGAGATGTGACCAGGCTGGAGACTTTCAGAGTTGTTCTGTTTGGACAAGCAAGCATTTACAAACACATCATTTGACTTCGGCAGCCTGTGTAATTTTCATAATACCTGTGTGTGCCTGTGTATGTCTCACTCAGCAGAGGCTGCACACAGTCTGCCAGGCCAAGGCACCATCATTTACCAGGCCAATTTTCTTAGATAGTCATTTAGATTTTTTTTTTTTCTAGTTGGTTACTATTTTGAGACCCAGGGCAGAAGACATTCTTGGCCATATTTCTTTGTGTGTCTGCAAAAGTTTATTTGTTGAATTGCCAAGTCATCACATTATAAAAATAAATAATGGACTAATGGCCCTCTAAAAAACGAAACACTGATTTTCGCTCCCAAGAACAACATGAAAAGGCCTGCTTCACCTGACCCACCCTACACCCAGCAGGAGCACACTTCTCACACTTCACACACTTCACATAGCTGTTCATCTGCCAGGCATTTTTAATGTTTTTATTGTTTTGGGGATCCTTTGCCATCGTTGTTTTGTTTTGGATTTATTTTATTTTAATTATATGTTGTGTGTGTGACTGTACGTATGCACATATGCATGCAGGTACCCAGGGAGGTCAGCAGTGGGTGTCAGATCCCCTGGAGCTGGAGTTACAAGTGGTTATGAGTTCCCTGAAATGGGTGCTGGGAACTGAACTCAGATCCTTTGCAAGCACAGCCATTGTTCTTACCCATGTGCATTTCTCTGGTCCCGATCATTGATTGTTTAATTTTATAAGACAGGGTCTCACTCTGTAAACCCAGGCTGGCCTCAAACTTGAAGTAATCCTCCTGCCTCAGCTTTTCAGTGCTGGCATGCACCAGCAACCATGCCTTGGCCATCTGCTAGAATTTTTAAAATCTACATTTTTCCTTTTTTTAAAAAAAAAATCATTTATATTCTTCGGTTTTTCTTTTCTTCCTTTCTTTTTTTTTTCTGTCTATTTTGCTTTGTGTGTTATCATTTCTGTTGATCAGCTCACCATTTGTCTTTCCTGGTTTAGAACTACTTCTGTAATTAATTAAGTCAGGTTTTCCACGTGTGCATGTGTGTAGATGTGTGTGCACTTATGCGCGTCACCCTCTACTGCAGCTTTATGTTTGCAGTTGTGGAGGTGAGTGTGTCCTAAGGCTGCTGGGCTTCGGCTGCAGTGGGTGGGTGCTTTCCCAGCACTCAGCCTCCACACCCTGTGTTCACGCCGATGCTCCGTGTGGCACAGAAATGTGCTGATAACCAAGGTCTTGGGGGGTAGGGTGGAGGGTGAGCAATTTGCTGCTTTAAATATGTAATGTTGAGGTTGGGGCAGGGCACAAAACCCACAGCCTGAGGTGTGTTCGTCAGGGCTGTCATTTCTAAGTCTCGGAAGTGTTTCCTGAGAATGAATCCCTCCCTACCTTGGGGATTTCATTAACAGATTAGCAGGCCATCCCCCCATCACCACAATGCAAAAGGTGACTGGTTACCACTCCCCTTTCGCCTTCCCGTGACCAGCTCACCCGAGAGGTGACAGGTTCTCACTGCGTTTTCCACCAGCGCCCGGAACACCTGGAGGACTTTGGCAGGCACGATGTCCCCCTCTATGTTCACGTCCGCCTGGTGCCACTGCCACAGGGTCTTCATGAACTGCTCTGTCTCCAGCCACTGCTGCAGGCCCTCGGGGTCCCGCAGAGGGCAGGTGAGCTTGGCGCCTTGCAGGTTGTAGTACCGCCAGCGCTGTGGCCGGGCCCCCTTGTATCCCGAGAGGCCTTTCAGAGGGACTGTGACCTGGAACAGTCTGGGAGCCAGAACCTGCGGTTAGAAAAGGAGAGACGGGAGCTGAGTTCCTGTCACGGGGGAGGAGACAGGCAGAGGGTGCTGACCTTTCCAGCCAGGCAGCTCAAGTGACCATTCGACCCCCAGCAATGGGATGAGGTGTACAGACAGAGACCCGGATTGCTGAGCACTACGGTTCTGTTTTACCACTAACCCATTTGAGGCTGCGGCAGACAGAGTGACTCAAGGAGTTCAGGGCTTCGTGAGGCCACAAGTTAAGTATGAAGAAAACCCGGAACCCTGGAGGGACCTGGAGTTTAGGGGAGAAGAAAGGGAAGGGAAATATATCCACTGAGACACACACACACACACACACACACACACACACACACACACACACACACAGGATATGGCTGCGCCTCTTCCATCTCGGAAGTCCAACAAGAGGTACCTACGATACCGCTTCCCCAGTGAGCAGCCTAAGGCACAGAGGGGCTTGCAGATCGCCCCGGGGCGCTGCCAGCAAGCGGAAGAGCGGAGAGTTTAATTGAATTCTTTTGGTAGCTTGTTTGGCGGTTCTACCCCAGACTAGTTCTGCATCAGGAACGAGTGTCCTGGGACAGCTGAACGTTCTGACACGAAAGAGAAGGTGACAGAACATTGAAATGCCACCCTTTCTTTTAGCCTGTCACCATGACCCAGGGTCAGTGCAGATGACTAACCCTTACAGAATCAAAGGTGAAATGAAAGCCTGTCTGTCTGGACAATGTGAGCCATTGAGTTGATTCTGTGTTTAATGGAAAAATGGATGTGAATCCACCCACTCCCACTCTCCGGGAACCAGTTAAGCAGTGGCCGGGAAGAAAGCATACTTAGCAGGCACACAATGCAAAGGACACAATACACCCGTTGGCCACGCAGATCTGCCAGAGGGACCCTGAACTCTGGCTGTGCCCTGGTGACTCGCTAGCACCCTCTTTGTTCATTCAGCCACGTTTTCTTTGAAGAAGGTTCCGGGAAGTCCAGCAATAGTGAGCTTTTGTCCCTGGTCTGAGCAATGAGCGATTCAGCTGATCCTGCCCCATTTTCAGAGAACATTTGATGGCTTAGATGAGGGTACCATGTGACTTCTGGCGTCCAGAGGCTGGATTAAAGGGGGGGGGGGGAAACGCCTAAACTCCAAATGAATTTTAATCCACTTGCACATGAGTTCAAGAGCACAGTGGTGGGGCTGGACAGACGGCTCTGACCATACACTGCTTAAAGGCCACACAAGCATGAGGACCTGAGTTCCGGTCACCAGCACCCACCGAAAGAGTCAGGCGTGTGCTTGCATGCCAGTCATCACAGCACTAGGGAGGCAGAGACGGGGGGATCCCTAGGACTTGTTGATTATCCAATACAACTGAATCGGTGAGCTCCAGTTCAGCGAGAGGCCCTGTCTCAGAGCATAAGGGGGGGAGCCACTGAGGAAAATTGAAGTCATTTTATGTGTTTTCTCCTTTCCCTCCTTCCTTCCTTCCTCCCTCCCCTTTCTTTCTTTCTTTCTTTCTTTCTTTCTTTCTTTCTTTCTTTCTTTCTTTCTTTCTTTCTTTCTTTCTTTCTTTGTTTCTCTCTCTCTCTCTCTCTCTCTCTCTCTTTCTTTCTTTCTTCGTTTCTTTCTTTCTTCTTTCTTCGTTTCTTTCTTTCTTCAGGGTCTCCTGTATCCCAGGCTGGTCTCAGATTTGACGTGAATCTGTGGTGGTTTGATTGAGAATGTCCCCTACAGGCTGGCACTACATGAGGAAGTAGTGTGGCCTTGCTCGCTGGAGTATGACTGGGAGCCGTCTTGGAGAGTTCAGAACCTGGCTCCACCTCCAGCTCACTCTGTACCACGTTTGCGGTGGCAGAAGATTTCCTGGGCAGTACTATGTTCTCAGTGGGATACGCACCGTTCATACATGGAGTCCCTCCCACCCAAGGGTTTGGATGCGTCCTGGGGCACCTCAGAGGGACCCGCTTACCTTAACGCTGTCATTGTACGTGTCAGAGGCAGGCACTGCTTGGAATCGACTGTCCTGGTGGCTGACCTCTGCCGTCAGACAGTGGATAACTCTCTGCACCTCCTCCACACTCTGAGAAACCTGCTGGCGCCTCAGGTCCACCTGGGTGTGAGGGGAGGGTCAGCGAAACAGTTACAGGGCCCGGGGCACCGGCCCAGGCGACAAGACAAAGGCACCGTGACGTCCGACCCAAGTTCAAAGCAAAAATCTTGCCTCCCGGGATTCCAAGGGAGTTGAGCTGCCTAAGTCTGACAGGGACCAAAATGACACTGGCTTCCTTCTGGACAGGTGCAGTCACCTCAATCTATCCAGGACTTACTCCTGGGCAGAGTCTGGGGACATAACAGCAATCAAGGCAACAGCAAAGGCCAGGGAGGAATGGGAGGGGTGCCTGGGGGGGGGGGCATTGTGACATATACCTGTAATCCCAGCACATGGGAGGTAGAGGCAGGAGCATCTGAAGTTCAGGACCAGCCCTGGCTCTGCAGTGAGTTCAAGGTCAGCATGGGCCACACGAGTCCCCGTCTCAAAAAACTTAGCAACAAATCAGACAAGATGTACAGTCCCTCTGGTTGGAAACAACACATGGTTGGGCGTGTACACTGTAATGCCATACATACTTGCTTTGAAAAGTGCCATAGGGAACACTGAGCTAGGATAAAGACCAGGGGATAAAGCGTGGCTATTTCAGATAGGGAGGTCAGAGAAGGTGACATGTGAGTGAGTCATAGAGAGAGCTATGGAAAGCAGATTCCAAAACTACTCCAAACAGCCAGGTAATACAATGCCAAGCCCAAGACATTTGACCAATGCTAAGTCATTCATCGCCCCAGGCACCTGGGAGCCTCCTACAGAGCCATCCCATACAGAGACAGAATGCAAGGCTGAGACCACGCCTATCTGTCTGCACAGGTTTCATAGCCCACGCTGAGTCAGCCCATTGATAGCTATCTATTTACAGTCACTGTATGCAGGTTACAGCTTCCTGCCGGGCCACAGGAACAAGGCAGACCGACACGATTATGTACTCAAAGCATTGGAGAAACCATCTGAAAGAGAATGCAAGTGTGGGCGTTGTACTGATACAGCAGAGAGGAGACCCCTAATCTGCGCGCAGAGATCTCTTTGACAATTCCATGTAAAGTACTGTCTTTGGAAAACAGACTTGTATTGTCCAGATGCCCAACACGATGCTGAGTAGCCAGAGACAGAAAATGAGGCCCCTAACTCTGCAGACCTGAGGATCTCATTGGAAACATCAAATACACAAAATAGTCTCCTGAAAGTCCATGGGTCCTGCTTGACCATGACTGTGGCAGTCGTATCTGCAGTTTAACAGGTGGTTTTTGCCACTAGCAGCCGCTCCTCCATTTTCATCCCAATAATGCCCACCTCACTATGGGTGATGGCAGTGAGGGACCGACCCTCTTGGAATGGCTGTGCCCTGTGGGGGCTCTACATCTTCTAGACTGCAAGTGGAAGAAAAGGGGTCATCACAGAAGGGCAGGAAGTTCAAGATGCCAAAAATAAGGGAGAGTGCTTTTGGAAACCTTTGGTCAAAGGTCCCCACAGACAGGACTTCCCCTGTGTCTGATTCAACTCCATTTGGCCAGCTTTCAAACGCCTACTTCTTGCTGGACTCTGTACTGCATGGCAAGAGGTTTACAGATAGACTGCCAGTGGAAGATGGTTTAAAACTGTCACAGTGAGATGCTGGGAAAGACAGCCATAGGATACTGTGGATGCCCCGCAAAAGGACAGTTGTCTAAACTGGAGGCTGAGGGTCCTTCCTGGAGGCAGAAGGTAAGGTTGGAGGAAGTCAACCAGGGGGCTAGGGATCTGGCTCTGGCAGAGTGAATGCTTGCTGAATGTGCATGAAGCCCTGGGTTCCTCCTCCAGCAGTACAGAAACTGAGCGTGGCGTGCAGGCCCACAGTCCTGGTGCTTTGGAAGTGGAAGCAGGAAGACCATTTGTGGCTTCTCAGCAAGTCCTGGGACACATGGGACCTTGTCTCAACCTGCATATGTAAGATGGCAGGTCCTGAGAATAAAGGGAGAGCCAGTGCCACCCCCCGCCCCCCAAAGTGTCTAGAGTTTCCCAACCAGAACAGCGGAACGAATGAAGACAAATTCATGAGGACAAAGGGTCACCACTTCTCAAGAAGCCTGACCGTGGCAGCAAACAAATTAGACAAAACTGGCAGGGCCAGCAGCAGATTCTCTCTAACTGACACATGGGCTTAGGCATGTTTAAACATGGAGGGACACGTGTCAGTTCAGGAGGAAGAGGCCCACACAAAGAGGAGGGATTTCCCAGCAGGAAAATGTCATGCAAATCTCCACCACATTGCTTCGGAAGGGGAGCAGGAGAGGAAGGGGAAAGGGAGGGGTGTTGGGAACTGGAGAGATTTCCTGCTCGAAGTCTATGTGTTTTCTTCACAGGGTAGGAGACGAGGCAATATGCAACAAGAAGCCGGAGAGGTGGCAGGTACCAGACTTCAGGTAATAGACTAGACCCACTCCCAAGGATGAGGGTGAGGACGGCTTGGGTACTTGTGTAAAGATGGAGTTGTAGCCATGGTGAGGCCCGTGAGGTTGTTGGAGTGTTCGTGGGCTCAGCTGTAAGATGTCCGAAGCACCTCTTAACCCTCCAGTCAGGCTGAGGCGCTCAGTTGGAGGGGTGGAAGCTGGAGGTGGGGTTTTGGCGGTTGAGTTGGATTTTCCAGCCTGAGGATGGAATGCATATAGCCAGGCTGGTAGATTAGAGGGCACTGAACAGGGACGAATCTGCTAAATGAGTGCGGGAGGGGGGGGTGGGGGAGGGATTATATAGAATCATGTACAAGCCTCACAATAAAGAAGCCATGCAAGTTGCCGGGTGGCAGTGGCGCACGCCTTTAATCCCAGTATTCGGGAGGCAGAGCCAGGTAGATCTCTGTGAGTTCGAGGCTAGCCTGGTCAATAGAGCAAGATCCAGGACAGGCACCAAAGAAAGAGAAAACCTGTCTTGAAAAACCGGGAAAAGAAGAAGAAGAAGAAGGAGAAGAAGAAGAAGAAGAAGAAGAAGAAGGAGAAGAAGAAGAAGAAGAAGAAGAAGAAGAAGAAGAAGAAGAAGAAGAAGAAGAAGAAGAAGAAGAAGAAGAAGAAGAAGAAGCCATGCAAGATGTTCTGATGAGGTAGATAGAGCACTGCAGTGAGAAAGGCTGTGAGGAGGTCATTGAGTAGCTAAGTTCTCAGAAGGCATGGAGGGCCAAGGCTTATAACCCCAAAGTCCCCAAATCTTTAAGTTTATGGATATGATTCCACAGAATTTGAATATGAAAAACCCAATGGACGCACGCACTAATAAGCTAAGTGTCCTAAGATGCTTCTGTTGCTATGCTACAACATGGACCAAAAATGACTTGGAGGAGGAAAGTGTATACTTGGCTTACACATTCCAATCATATTCCCGCACCAGGGAAGTCGGGGCAGGGGACTGAGCAAAGACCTTTAGAGGGGTGCTGCTTACTGCCTTGCTCTCCACAGCTTGCTCAGCTATCTTTCTTATACAACCCCGGACCACCTGATCAGGGGTAGTTCTGCCCACTGTGGGCTGCACCCTCCCACACCAATCATTAATCAAGAAAATGCCCCCACAGACTTGCCTACAAGCCAATCTGAGGGAAGCATTTTCTCAGTCAATGTCCCCCTCTTCAAAATGACTCTAACTAGGCCAGGCAGTGGTGGTGCACGCCTTCAATCCCAGCACTCAGGAGGCAGAGGCAGGCAGATCTCTGAGTTTGAGGCCAGCCTGGTCTACAGAGCGAGTTCCAGGGCAGTCAGGGATAAGCAGAGAAACCCTGTCTGGAAAAACAGAACCACAGCAACTCAACTCAAGCTTGTGTTGAGATGACAGAAACCTGACCAGCACACTAAGAAAAGCTCCATTACAGTATCGGCACTGGGGTGGGGGGTGGGAACCAAAATCCTTCTCTATGAGTGAACTTGACCACAGACTGGACAGTGACTGGGCAGAACAAGTCTGAACACACCCTGGAAGGCCCCTGTAATCTCTCTCATTCTCCTTCGCTTAGCTCATCATCCTCATGTGCTCTGATCTGCAGATGTGGAAGTCAAGAATGGAGAACTAGGCTGCCTGGAAGCTCAGACTACAAATTCTTCCGGCACTTGGGTGCCTTAAACTTAGCATCTTAGAGTTATTTCAGCTTCAGCAATCATCTTATCTGGTGCCACCAAATAGAGTACCAGAGCAACAAGAGGCTCCCCTCTGTCACACCGGCAATTAGAAGTAGAACTAGACGACATGCGTGGGGTTTCCAATGCCATTATCCAGCACTCTCTGCCACGCCCCTTATCTTCTTCCTGGACCTAGATAGAAGAGGCTTTCAGTCTGGAGTCAAGGCTCATGAAACAGCAAGTCTGGAGCTGCCATTTTGTGGGTACTACAGACCGTTCTTACATCCCCTAGGGATACTGGGATAACACAGGAGGGGCCAGACACTGAAGAGCCCCAGGCAGATCTGTCCCCGCAGTGCCCAGGATGCTGAGGATGGGTACAATTTTCATCAGGTGATATCCGCCCCGCTCCCACATTATTGACCACGTGAGCAGAGACAGGCTCTTACCACGACGGCATCACTGAGCACCCCACAGCCCCCAACGCTCTGGGCTGGGGTTCCCAGGCCAGGTCTTAGGTTGCATCCCCAACCTAGACCCTGACCTTCCCCGCTTGACTATGGACCTCCACTTATCTTGACTGAACCCAGAGAACCAGAACAAGAGGATTGAAGCTCTGGCTGAGGAAATGCAGAGATGCAGATGCGGCCTGCGGTCCATTGCAGAGAGATTTTGGTAAAAGTGATTTTGGATGCTTTATCACAAGTCCAGGGCCCTCCACGACCAATCTCAGAATCCCTTTCCTTTCTAGTCTCTCAAACGTCAACAGGCCAGCAATACAGTCTCATCACCAAATGCATCTCAGCAAAGAAAGGCTTGAAAATAAACATACGGGAAAAATGGGATCATTGAAGAAAATGGACTCAAAGCACAACTCAATTCAAGCTTGATCTTGGGGCCTATCCTCTTCTGCTGATAAACTCAACGAATCAAAAAGGGTGCATTCTCTTTTTTCTAGGGCTACCTTTGTGGGTGTGGCCGAGCCCAGCCACATTGAATCAACCAGGCACACACAAGGCTGGATGCTCCAAGGTCACCCAGGGCAGCAGATGACGCCTTCATGCCGTAGCTTTGCCCAGGGCCTCCCTCTCCAGGTGTGTCTACGTGCTTCCCCACACGTCCCTGTCTCATCCTAGGTTCCCTCCCCTCTTTCCCAGCCAGAGCCTCTGGGCTATTGTTGGACCACAAGTCGTTTGCTGCTATTAATAGTTCAGGTTTGTGAATAATTTACTGTTTCAAATATAAATTATTGGGAATTCAAGACTGTTCCCTCTAACAACACTGCTGACTCATGGGTGTTGCAACCCTCTTCCTTGAACTCTGTGGAGGGCCAATTAAGCGGCTTTCGGGAAAAGTCGTACGGGGCTGGCTGCACCCAGGACAGGCGGTCTATCTACATGAGCATCGCCCAGGTGGAGGACAGGGAGGAAAAAATGGCCGAGAACTTCCTCCCAGACAACAGAAAGCTGGGCTGTTAACCTTGGAATTGCTTTAAGTCCAATAATGGGTTAAGACAGGACAGGTACCTTCCCTGCCCTCCAGAAGCTGCCAGTTTAAAGGGAGCTTAACTTAACTTAAACTTACAGGGGAAACAGCTCTACTCAATTCCATGAGGACTGCCTGGACCACCTGGTATTGGCGGCTCCAAATGCAGCAGCAGCAGCAGCAGCAGCAGCAGCAGCAGCAGCAGCAGCAGCAGCAGCAGCATGTGGAGCTGGGGTTACTCAATCCTTCCAGGGTACCGGGCACTTCAAAAGAACAGGAGTACCGGAGCCTCCACCATTCAATGATGACTCCCATTTTATAGATGAGGAAGTTGAGGCTCAGGAGGCAACTTGCACCAGAGTTAGTTAAGTTATAGGCGGGTCACATTTGCTACCTCGAATTCTGCTTCCCTAAAAGAAATGGTAGCTGAATACAACGCCCCCCCCCCCCATGGGGTGGGTGGGTAAATTGGGTTTCCTCCTGTACTTGCCTTCTTCATTTATGGAAACCTAACACATCCGCCAAGCCCTCATCTCCATTCCTCTTTCCGTGGACCACTTCTCCCATCAGAGCCCAGGCCCTTCCTTTCGCTCTGCAAGGCTCTCTTTCCATTGCAGCCCTGGGGTCCGCTGTACACTCAATGACCGCACACAGAATGTCCCCTTCTTCCTGGGGTGTTAAGAACAGAATCTGTAGGTGTGGCCGGCCATCCCTCGGGCATGCACAGCATTTCTTTTCCATTTAGCAGACCACATCTCAGGGCTTGAGCTCCTCCACACCACAGAGCAGGATTTGACATAAAGTGGGGGTTCTGTGTGCCTGTGAGACAGAGGATTGTAGCAGAGGAGATACGGCCTCTGGGCCCAACCAGCTCTGCTGAGAGCTCAGTACCTTCACCATATAGCCACTGGACGCTAGCCAAAGCCTTTCATCTCTACAAAGCTCTCTCTTCCTCTAGAAATGGAGGCTGGCTGGTGGCTACATAAGTGTTACCTGCACCCCGACCTGTCAGCAGCCTGCACAGTGTTTTCCCTTATCTTCAGTGAACTCCAAAGGGATTCAGAGTATCTGTGCAAGATACTCTGGGAATGTGGAAGGAAAGGAATGTATCCAGGACACTGTTGGTCCCTCTAAGAAGGTGGAAGTAATGAAACCTTCCAGGGTGTAAGTCAGCAACTGAAACCATGCTAAGAGGAACCAGTGTATATGATCAATAAACAGGATCAGCTCCAGAGTTCCCAGGGTGACAAGAGTGGTCTATGCCCCGGTGTTAGTTAGGGGAGCCTTTTTGCCAACTCTGAGCTGCATGAGAAGGATTAAGATGAGAGAGAGAGACAGAGAGAGAGAGAGAGAGAGAGAGAGAGGAACAGAGACAGAGAGATGGAGACAGAGACAGAGGGAGGGAGGGCCTGAAGTCTGTTTAGGACGTAACTCTTATGGGACAGATGTGGAGGCTGGTCCACCTTCAGAGACAAGAGAC